TTGGGCTGTACAGGCTAAGTCCAGAGAAATTGGGCTCGGTCTGATCCTTAAAAATGAGTCTGCTGCCCGGCGACCATAACATTACGTGCAAATTTCAGAGAGATCACAAACTAGAAAACCACAACAAATTTTAAATTGTTTCCCTTACATAGAGCAGAAATAAAAGCGATTTAATTCATGAACAGTAATTTTCCTGAAAACCTTTCAGACAATAAAATTTACATAGTCCCAATGAACACTGAATATATATGATTTAAAAGGCAGCTGTTTGAGGAAAGATGTCTTGACTAACTAGGTTCATGACCTCAATTTCCTATTAATCGATGCAAGACTTAGTTTCACAAATTTATGTACAAAGCAGTTCTTTAGCAGGTCGTTAGCTATTGTAATAAAAAATGAAAATTATTATAAATCTGTGACGTCTACAACATGAGAGATCCAGTAGACATATTTAATTCTGCAAGCAGAATACTGCAATGCTGATCGTACTACGTGAAAATTAACTCTGCAAGACATCAACACGACACCGAAAGAACTCAAAACAGAGCGGGATTGTAGCCATAGAGAGATCCACATTAACACAAGTGATCCTGAATATCCGGCTTTGCTTGTGTTAGGAGGGGTAGGGGTGGGGTTGGTTTAGCGGGGGGAGTGGGGGTGAAAAGGAAGTGGACGAAAGAAGCAGAAAAGGGAGACAACGAAGGGAGAGACACACAAATCGGCCAAAACAATATTCTAGTCGGACATTTTTCTTAACATGAAACAAACATACTTTGCTTCGCGGTCGCAAACCGGTCTAAACTTATTATTAATTATTTCTAAGTAAAAAAGAGAGGGAAAAAAACTACAGCAGGAAATCAAATAGCCTGAATTTCATCCGATTACTTCGAGTCGTTATTACTCCCTCAGTAACTGTAATAACGACTCGAAGTAATCGCGGATGAAATTCAGGTTAGAAATCAAAATAAACCTTGCACAAATATCTGATTGGACAAATTCCAAGTTAAAGGAGATTACTTCTTACCTGGACGATTTGATCTCTGTGAAGAAATTTTC